TATTTGCATTGCTCATCTATTGACAATAACATGTAAACAAAGTATTCTTGAAAACGCTTAACTTCTTGAACAATCGTGCGTGCAAAGCTTATGCACATTCGGTAAACATGGAAAATAATATTTTACTTTACTTCCAAAAGTTTTTTCGCAGAAGTCTATGAGCAAATGTTTTTGATTTCCTTAAAATTTTTACCCTGTGACTATGACTCATTCTCGAGGATTCAAAGTTTTACACCGAACTTGGATGAAAGGCCTCAGGTTCCCGCTGCTTTTGACCATTCTCAAACTAGCTTTCAAGACATCGTGGGGCGCCAAGTGCATCGCTTGTGGCCACGTCTGTTAACAATAAAACTGATCTTTCTGGTTACCGACCGCTTTATTTCCTTTTCCCGAGATACAATAATGTTTACGTCCATTCCCAAAATGCCAATATAAAACAACAATTGGATCGTTTCAAGATATTCGATGATTAAGAACTTTAGGTTTTCGTTATAACACTGCGAAGTTCATCAATTCCAGATTTCTACAACTTTTCAATTAAATCTAAAAGTGCATTTTATTTCCCTTTATAACTATATCCTTTCAGTACTTACTCTTATTATTATTATCATCATCAAAGAACCGTTTTTTGTATACTGTTTATAAGGAACAGAAAATGTTTTACTTTCACTTCACTTAGCTCTGTTATCTCTGATGAAACAAAACTTGGTATGTACAAAATTTATTCACTTGTAGAGCAATAATCACATTTAGCCTACAAATAAAAGATTTAAAGAACTACCCAGATTTTTCAATTCAGAATTTAATATCTAGTACCAAGTACTTTAGAACTCTGAATATTTGGAGTTATAAAATACTTGTTTCGTATCCGTAATTAGTTCAACAAAGTAAATATAAATTTTTCTACATGCGCTAATCCAAACGTTAATTATGAAACAGAATATGCTCTTATTCAAGAATAATTTTATTTTAAATATGTGCATACTGCTATACTTAGCGATGAAAATTTCAAATGAAGCGAGTTTCAAATGAAGCAACACAAAGCGAGTTATGTGTTTCTTCAACAAAAGAAAAATAGCTTTCTAGCAACATGGTGGTTAAAAAGAAGATTTTTCTCTAATAAACTGGCTAAAATAACGCTGATTATTGTTTAGAAACCAAACCTATATGTTCAAATATTTGATTACTATTATATAAATGTTCACATAGAATTAATTAAAATTTACCATAAAATATTTTTAAGAATATTTATTGTTAAAATATCCACATAAAATTATCGCGCCCTCCCCCCCCCCAAAAAAAAAAGAAAGAAAGAAAAGAGAAGAAAAACTTAACTTAAATGGTGCAGTGTAATAAAATCTATAAAGACTTTATATTTTTAATAAACGTGCACATATAAAATTTCAAATACACTCAAAAAATCCTTTTTGCGGCTACAGTATTTTAAATTGTTGCATACAATACGTCTGCATGCATATGCATAACAGCGTTTGAAACCTGTTAAACATTTGTATATCTTCTTTTGTAATAAAAAATTATGAGATTTTCATAAAAATTGCAATCTGATCCTGCAATATCCAACTTAACTAATATGAGTTTAAACTGAAGGCATTCTGTGCCATTTAAATTATACATGGCCATAAAAATTTTAATTTAAATGACATACGGTGCATTTAAATGATGTGTATAACCATAAAAAACTTTTTATTAACAGGAAAATTTATTATTTTCATATTTATATTAAGCTAATGATCGTTATAACGTCATTTCGCATCCTTAGAAAATGTCTTTGAGTATCAACGGTATATGAAATGTAAATCAAATAATTCAATTGAAAATAAAATTCAAAATAAAAATTGCACAATGTTATGGAAATAATGTTTAAAAAATATTATTCGTTTGTTCTATATTGCACGCTAGACGTAATTAACGTCAAAAAAAGTTGAATGTGATTTTAAGAGTGATGATGTGCGTTCTACTTTAGTTAGCATTATTTCGATATTTTGAAACTGTAACGTATCATGGAAAAATGTTCGCTGAATTACAATTTTATTTATTACCTGATCTTTGGATACCTTGCAGATTGCCGTGTAGAGTCATATATGATGATGGAAAACATGGAAGGTAAAACATAGTCGGACACATGCATGAATTTTTCAGGAAAACACAGAAACTCGTTATATCTTGTTATGCTCATAGCAGGAATGAATTGCACTATTTATTTATTCGTAAAAGGCAGGGATTTTTAATTTTATTTTCTGCATCTATGTAGCGCGAAAAATTCTGATAGTCATGTACAATTCACGCTGAAAACAATCTGCGAAACTAGTTGAGAAATGAGAACTGAAAGCTGTAGTCTCAAATTCCGGGCATTCGTAACTTAATACATTCTTAGGAATGGCCAGTCTTCATCAGTTATTTAGCCACTCCATCACCGAGAACTTTGCTGTGAGTGCGACCGATCTTCTGCCGTGAGAAAGGGAAAAGTTTCGTCGCAGTTTTGATGGAGAACACTCCGAGGGACTCTCACCTCTCTTTCCTAGCCAGCAAAACACTCGAAAAGACTTCCGACTCGTCAGTCTTATAAATGCTTCTTTAGAACTGGTAAGTAAGAACTTAAAAATATAATATATATTTTAAAATATTTTAAAGAAAAATTTAAAAGAAATTCCATACGTTTCTGTGAGACATCTAGTTAAATAAATTGCAGTGTTTAGATTTTATTTATCTCTTACGATCTGGTCTAATACTTATTTTCATTGCAATAAAGTTAATAAAATAATTCAGCAGAAAGGTTTGCAATTAGAAATCGCAATTTACAGGAAGAGAAAGTGCCGCATTTGAAGAGTTCTTTTACTATGCTTCTATTCTATTTGGGCTATGGAAAACAACGTAATTTTGAAAATTGTTGATGCACAAAATATATTTCATAAGTAACTTCAATTTTTAATTTCAGAATAATAGGGTGAAGGGTAATAAATTAGGTGATAATCTAAACATACTATAGAAATTGCAATTTAAAAGAGAAACCCCGTTAAGGGGCCCTATGATCCAGCTTGCGAGGACTACCAAAATTACTTAAACCGACCCTAACGATACGATATGTTTTTACCTAATTGTGGAGAACAGTTTTTTCCTGCTATTCTGTTTACATTATAAGATTTTTTCGCCCTTCTTTCCGCATACCATCGTAGTGTAACTGCAAGCACGCTAATACGTATTCGGAGGATTCGGAATTCGAATCCTGGTGAGAGTACTGCGGATTTCTTGTTTCGTGAGTTCTAAAAAGCTTTACAAGGGGCGCCCGAAATAAAAGATGGTAGACAACAATTCGTCACTACCAGGATTTTTCGACTGAGCCACCTCATACCTAGTCACCCTTAAAAGAGAAAGTATATAAGACTTCTTTTCCTCACGTGTTTCATGTTTCCTGGATCGATTTAACCTAATGATGCTACGATACCGTAACTGATCCTGCTATTCTGTTACTTATATAATCGACTCAAAAATAGTAACCAATGACACAAATAACAGGATCATGTTCCGAAAATGTAAAGCAGGCGTTATTCACGGTGGTGTCAGTAACGTTTTACAAGAACGTTCTGAATTATGCCTATCTGTTACACCTTTTATCCGTATAATCGCACGTCAATTACCGGTATTAACAGTTTCCATTACATGTAAAGACAGTATAAAAGTGTCTCATAGACGGTATAGTGGTTAGGGAAGCCTACTACGATACCGAAGGTCCCGGGTTCGAATCTCGGAGAAGACATGAACGTTTGTAAATGTATAGTGTCGGTGCGGCATGGCGGCACTCTAAATATGCGGCGACCCGAAAGTCATTTCGTGGGGATTGGTGGAAGGGGAGAGGAGTGGGATATCCCCGGGATGCTCTCTCTCAAAATTTGGGGTGGAAAATAGAAGTCCAACCTCTCTTCGGAATAAGCTCTGGCAACCATTGTTCCATGTAATATGGACACGACAACAACAACAAAGTATAAAAGTTTACGTAGTAGAGCACATTAAAACGTGTCACATGGACAGTGTATGTTCATGAAGGGTATCTTTTTTTATATGTTTAAGTATGATATTCATAAATGTCTCTTAAGAATAGTTTAATATATATAAATCAAATACGTATGTGCATTTATGGATTCTTTGAAATACTAATGTTACTTTAAATATCATTATGATGTAATAAATAAAGATGTATGCTTTTTAATATTTCACAATGCATTTAAAAAGAAAGCTAAGAAAAAGGATGCTTTCTCGTGAAGCATTCAGATGCAGAATTCAAAAACACACACGAACATGCCCAATAAATAAATAAATTAAATTAAACTCGGAAAAGGACACTCTAATATTTCTGTGTTAATGGATTTAAAATTTCTTAACCAACTTTTGTTTACTATCAGATATAAAATATTTCATCATAGTCGTGCTATGGTACGTTGATTTTTCTATGATAATTTTTCTAAAATTATAAAAACATTTGTTGATGTCGACGAGAATACGAAAATATGTTGGTTTTTCTGCCATAATTATCTGATTAAATTTTGAAATTAAAGTAACTTTTGCAATGTGTGGAACTTACATCACTTGCAAGGAAAGCTGCTAGTTAAATTCTCGACTTAATGAAAAATTTTAAAATTAACACCTCCGTTTTTGATTAACTATTAAACTATTACCGTATAAAAACACTATATAAAAGCCAAAAAAGTCTCTGCAGTGAATGTGTTGTAAATTGTAAAGTGCCTAGTAAAACATTTTTAATTTTTGGTCGATGGATTAATCAAAACAAAATGTTTTTTGTACGTTTACTTTTTTATCATCTCACTTGACTTATGGATCTGCACACAGTAGACTTTAGGCTGGAGCTCTTTCCGCTTCTCCATATGTTGTCCCACAGCACTATTTCTCTCAAGGACGAAATCACTTTTTTCCCTCAAAGTACTCTCCCTCAAAGTATGCCCTGCGTATGTAACCAATCAAAAAACGTATGTAACCAATCAAATCCTGAAATTACTGACGTCCGGCTGACTCTGACCTCAGTCATTCTTAAAGAAGAACGATTCGAAAGACCGGGGTTTGAGGTCATCAAGAACACCGCTAAAATTATTCCAGATCGAAGGGAAGTATTGATGTCTTTGTTTTATCCGCTCTACTAAAAGTGTAAGTATGCATATTTTCACATTTTTAATCGTATTTTTAATAATGAAAGTTTGCTAAAATTGTTTTGTATATGTCTAAAATCTTCCAAATGCTATAATCATGTTGATCTCAAACTTATCACTGCCAACTCAAGTTTTCAACTCAGTCCCAGTTTTTCATCACATCTCCAAGTAAATTACCAAATCTCGAGATTTTAAAGTCTCGAAATTTAAATCTTTACTAAAGAAAATTTTTCCCATAAAAAAAAAAAGAAATTTATCAAAATAATGAAATTTTTAATTAGGCGAATTGTATTCGTCCACCTGTAATGATTTTCATAATAATTTTTCTTGTTAAACTTTATTCCACAAAACTGTATTTTTTATTAATTTTATTGACCTTAATAAATTTTTCTTATCGGATTTCGTTTAATCTGAGTTGTTTTAATCTGCTGTAGACATCAGTAGATTTTTATGTGAAGATTTAGGCAATGTTTAATTAGTTAATTTTCGTGTGTTAATTTTGTTTACTTTAGTACCTGGCATATTACTAATTTTATCTAGTGTTATTATGTATGTTAATTATTAATTTCACATGCATCGTATATTTAAAAATACTTTGATAAATAAAAGCTTTGCTTCACTACTGAAGATTTCCTCAGCATAAAAAAGCGAGGAAATAAAAAAAATGAAATTAGTAAAGAGCATAAATTTTAGACTATCTAATAAAATGCTAATGCATCTTACATCAAAATTGAATTACAAGTACTATAGTAACCTGAACCATCATGCATCATAAACTGAATCAAAGCGAGTTTGGAATTTCTTTGAAATGGTATAACCTCTCAGAGTGGAAGAACCTTTAATTTTTTCTAGAGCAAACCCGTCTTTAAAGAAAATCTCCCGTCTTTTAAGATTTTCCAAGGCTGGAAACTATGATCTGCATGCATATACGATTGTGTTTATGGCTTTAGAAATACAATTTTTATACTATTCAAATGTAGTACTGGTATTTTATGCACGTACTGTTTTCATTAAATTGTAAAGAAAAATTAAAACACTAAGAGAATTAGATATCTTATATTTACACAAGCAATGAAATAGACATTTTTTATTATTTAGAGTTAAAAACTGAAATTTTGGCTAGTTTTTTTAACTTTTTGATAACTATTTTAGAGCAGTTTAAGTTCTCCAGCTAAAGCGGCAATAAATAAATAAACAAATAAATAAGTAAAAATTTGAACTTTCAATAAATCACTGGAACTGCACTGGAGCGATGTAAATGAAATATCTTCATCTCACATTGGTCTAAGACATTACGTACCAAGCGAATTTAGTCGTAAACCTAGAATGCTTTAAGAAATACAGAGTTGGAAGGCAACAAAGTTTCATTTATTTCTTTTATACACTAGGCCTGTTGTTATGAATTCAATTTTACCATCTGCTATGTACAACAACTTTCTTTTACTACATGTGGAAATTTTTATTTTAATAAAGCCTTCAGATATTGCTTTCTCTAATGATGCATTTGCAGAAAATGATTTAAGAGCTTTTGTTAAACACAGTATTCGATTACATGGGAAAATATTTATTTAATAATTTATTTAATAATGTATAATGTTCTATCTTTGATTCATTTAATAAATGATGTTCAAATATTTGGGCCTCTTGACACTTTTTGTTGAAAACATTTGAACTTTTTGGGGGAACTGAAAAATATGCTTTGTGCTCTTTCAAAACCTTTGCAGCAGCTTGCACGCAGATATGCTTAACAAACACGTTTTGACGAAGAAAAGGAATCAATAAGTGAAATTAGCAAAATATATCGTTTCAACTCTCAGAATTTAAGATATCTGCTGACACTGGTGATAATTGTTGTTTATTTATAGACAAATCAGTTCTAATAATCAAATATCTGTTAGAAAATTCATCGGAAAAAGAAATTGTTTTTTTACAGATTTAATAAACAAAAAGAATTTTAGTCATCCTTTCAGTTCTCTAAATTTAGGTGTCATTATAATTTCAGAACTATCAATAAATTTAGAATCTACATCAGTGGAATCTGTTAACTGTATATATATGCTAGTGGCATATAGGGATTATTATGTTTGTTATCCATTATGTTTTTAATCAGGTGTACTAACAGAGTTTCCCTCACCTAGAAAATTTTAGACTGCCATGGAAAATACAAAATATATTCAGAAAGTCAGGGAGGAATTTTCCCAGAATGTCAGGAAGGTTGAGTTCGTATAAGACAAGCTTTTTAATGTTGATAATTAACTACATATAAAGTAAGATTGCTTCAATTCAGTCTCAGAACATTTACGGATTTATTTCATTACATTCACAGAAAATGGCATTTAGCGTTGTACATTTGCTAATGACCGATGAAGTGGCTGTCGTCCAAGCAAATGAGTGTCAGATGATAAAAAGGGACATGTAACTGGCCTTCGTATAAAGAAAGAAGTCACATGAAAAGAGCAATTCTGGAACACAGAGAACCAGATACATCCTGAGAGAATTTTTATATTGTTATCCTGGGAGAATATTGTAAGTATTCTACAAATGATTTTTACGTCTGTTTTCCCATATTAATTTAATTGGTAGGAAGTTTTTCGAGAGCATAAAATTGAAATAATTTGTTTTCTGAATTGAAACATTGAAATTTAAAAAAAATGTTTTGATGCGTAGGAAAATGTATTAAGCATACTTTAATTTTTCTAAACAAATATTATTTATCCTTATTCTCTCTAATTAATTGTGCTCATATTATATCAGCTTATGTTTTAATAGTTTCGCTCCGAAATAAATCATATCTACATTCTTAATTACGGTTCATAGTAAGACTCTAATATTCAATATACTTTGCTAGTTTGTGAATTTTAATACAACCTCTTTAAAAACTTACCCATATATAAAATAATGGATGCTCAAAGGAAGACTGAACGAGAGATTTTAGCCTGCGGATCCATATAAATGTCAAATTCAATTCCATTGAGTGAAGTCATGAATCAGGCTCCAGAATGTTAACACTGTGTTTAAATTTAATTAAAAAAACGCCTATCTATATATTTTATTTACAAATCTGAATAAAAATATAATTTTCAATAATAAGATTTGAGTTTTCTATAAGAAATGTTAAAGTGATTAACGATTCTAAACAATAAATATGCTGTTGAGTTGAAAGATGAGACTGTATCTAATGAAAAATGTATGCATTTTTGTAGCTAATTATGCTACAGTTGAATTTAAGTCCAAAAACGGCTTTAAAGACATTGAATTTTAGATTCAGGTTCAGACTTTGAAACACCAAAACAGAAGCGAAAGAGGCCATTAACATTCTGATACATGTATATATTAATATACATGTATCAGAATGTTAATTCTTCGGATGATAAATTAAATACAAAAAGAAACAAAACAGAATTACCTCCTACTAAATTAAATTATAGCTAAATAAAAAGAAATCCCTTTTAATTTTTCCTCATGCGGTAGTAAATTAAATTTTACTACACTTTCTTAAGCTTCTTTACTTAGTTATATTAATTACAGTAGTAGAAGATGTTTTTAATCATTTATTTCAGTTTTTTTTTTTTTTATAATTAAATCGAAATTATATGTTTAATTCCATTATAATAATTTTGCTTGCTGATTATTTTTTCCTTTATCAAAGTTAAATTTTATTTTGAAATTTTGCATTTTAACAATTTCACATTATGAACGTTTTGTCTATTATAAGATTTTTGAATTCTACATTTTTCTTTTTCTTGGTGGCTTGTGCTTTATGTCACTGTACTTTTTCAAGTTCTTTTTATAAAATGTTTGTACTTTAGTAGTACTTTTATAGTACTTTTTATATAAAAAGTTTCTAACTTTCAAATTAACAAAATTTGCTCTTTTCAAAAAAGGTGTTGACTTTTTCATATTTTTATATATTGGGTAACTAATTTTGAATCACGTCAAAAATTAACTAGCTATTTAGTCATTTACTTTTATTTTTCAAGAATGTTCATTTCAAAGACACTTAGAGCTATGCTTAATTCCTCAGCATTAACTTTGCTTATTAGCTATTTTTTCATCGATCTAAATTAATTAATCTTTTTTTAATTTCATAAGTTTACTAAGTCCATATTTTCAAAATTTGGCCAGCTTTGCCTTCTCTGTGGTTTTGAATTCCGCATGTGTCTTTTTTTTTTTTTTTTTTTTTTTTCATGTACATTATGTCATTCCTATTTTCCAAGTTATTAATTTTTAAAAACTTTTTAATTTAAAATTAATAAATATGCTTTCACTTATTCTTCAAAATCTTCTAAAGAAGGCGCGTTAAAAAATACTTCAAAAGGCGAGTCTAGTCTATTTTGTCATTTATGTATTCGATTTTGAGTCACGTCGGAGCAAGTGATATCGTGATAAATACTGATTTCAGATACTTGCAATTTTTATCATTATTTTAATTTGCCTCATCGGTTGCTAAATGTATAACACTAGCGAAGACTGGGAGTTCGTCTTGGCTTCTATTCCAGACGAACGGTTTTGTTGCGTAGTTGGTTTTCGTGGTTTTTCCCATGAGTAGCATGAATACGAGCCAGTTTTCCTTTAGAAATTCCTCCACGAATTCATTCCCTCCCTTAGGCAGATATCACTTGTACACTTCGTTATATTCGAGTATCCTTAAATAATCATTAAATAATTTTTAAACAGTTTTAAATTTTTTGAAAAATTTTAATTTTGAATTAAGGTTTTGGTCTTTTAATTCAAAGGACTCTTTGATTACTTGTACAATTCATCCAGATATAATTTGATTTCTCTGTTTATAATTCCATTTTCTTTCGGCTGCTCTTTGACAAAGACCGAAGATATTTTTTAATTCTTTAAATTTCATGCGAACTTTGTTTTATTTATGTATTGATTTAATTTTGCTCCAATTTTGTTTTCCATGTTTTTGATTCATTCTTTTGATTTGTGACTTATTGTTACAGAGTTCATCATTTTAGGTTTATATTAACTCCATTTGTTTGAATTCACATGTCTCTCTGTATGTATATATATATGCAAGGAAGAGGAAAGTTCAAAAGCGATTGCTTAAAAGTACATTTGGAAATTAAAATTTTAAAATCAAAAAATACCCTCACTTCCAATATTTCACTTAACATGATCTTTGAGACTAAATCGCGATTTCAAAATACATAAAAATCATATTCTAACCATATTCTAATCATATTCAAAAAAATTTCAATGATTTTTTTCAAGGATTGTATATTTTTCTTCAAGTGAATTTAACTAAATTCAAATAGTGACATTACAGAGCGTGTTAATTTTGTATTTCAATCTCGAAAATGATTGCTTTAAACGGCGACCATTTCGAGAGCATTTTGACATAACTGACGATATATGAAATTGAAGCGCAATTTGTTGGCGACGTTTGGTGCTAAAAACAATTCTTGACCAATAATCTTCTACAAAATTAATTTTAGTAAGTGTTATAATTTGTTTGCTATTTCACTTTTAAACTTTGAAAAACCGTCAGTCATTTCTAGGATAACCCATATTGATTTTTTACTTTATATTTATTAATTATATACATATGTATAGATTTATATATATCCGTCGATCTGTTTTTTTATATGTGTTAACTTTTCACATATCACATCGATAAGATTAGTTTTTAGTGCATTCACATGTTTTCCAACATTGATTCTAACAGTTTTATTTCGCGTGTAGGCTGTTTTTTCACCTTTCCATGTTAATATTTTTTAAAAATTACTTCCATGTTAATATTTTAAAAAATACTGCGTTGAACTATTTTATGGAGCCACAGCTCCTGGTAACTTTTTAGCAAGCTCACTAGAATATTTCTTCCTATTATTTCATATTTTTGCAGCATTTTGCGCAAAAAAATTTTTAAGACCAAATAGGTCTTACGTCAAATTACTTGTTAGCTTTTCAATTTCTATTTCAATATATATATATATATTAATATATATGGCATTGCTTATTAAAAGTTTTTTGTGGTTAAAATTGATCAGATCTATTTTAGTAGAATCTAATGAGTAAGTATTATGTTGCGCTTCTTGTAGTTGTTCTCCATCACAGGTTTAAAATCATAAGCACTCATTAAATGAATCATGAAATAGCTTTAGCACTACTGTTATATTAATAGATGTAATTGTTGCCCCAAAATTTGGCTACTCGGCTTTCCTGAAGTCTATTGCTCTAAAAAAAGAAAAGTCTATAGTAAAATGCTTTATTCAATTTAAAACAAGGGTGCCAAAATTCCTAAATACATATTTGTAGGAATGAATAGAATTACATATTAAACGTTTTTCTCACTTACACATTTCTCCATTTACGTTGACAAATTTTCATGACTAAATACTACTTCACTTTTTGTTAAGATTATTTCACGTTTAATTAGATACCTGCGCAAATTTAATTAATACAAATAAAGCACATTTAACAACATATAATGACACAATTCTAACTAATCAATGCACTAATCTCTAATATTAAATTGAATTTACATTGTAATTTGATTTTAAATTAATTGTAAATCTCTCATATTAAATTAAATTTTAATTTGAATGAAACACTAGGATAAAAAAATTATTCTGATTACTGAAATGTATTCATATATGCAAAATGTAAATAGCAAATAACATTTCAAATCAAATTTCTCAATTTTATATTTATACTTATTATATGTATAATAAATTTAAAAATATTTAGGGAGTCATATTAAGATATTTTTGCTTGTGATTCAAAGTTCTATTTAATTTCCTTAACATTCGTATTAAAATACATATATAGTGTGTACATACATACACACACACACATATATATATATATATAATAATAATTTATTTCCTAAACAATATTGATTAATTGATTATATTATCTCCTAAGTTTAATTAAAGTAGAATTATTTTAAAAGAGTATATATATATATATGTAAAACATTTATCTTTACATGCATATGCACATGTAGTTAAATTTTTATCATAGTTGCACTGTATTCTGTTATTTAATATAAGCATTTCAAGGTGACAGTTATCCATGCTCCTTATTTTCGTTCGTAACATATATGTTGCCATCCCTTCAATGAAATAATTTTTTCTACTCCATGACTGTAACTCATATGAACCTTTAAGTGCGGTGCCGAAATAAAAGGAAAATAGGAAAAACGAATCTCCAGAATCGAAAATCTTTTGCAGCACATGTTACCCTTGTTCACTAGAGAAACTAAATGGGGAAATAGCTACTTGAAAGAAACACAATTCGACATTTTTTGTTTGTAATATTTCATAATTTTATGACCATTTCATTATTTTCAAATATTTTAACTAGACCAGCATTTCATGATTTAAATAATCATTTTCGCTTCTTTTCTGGCAAGGAAACAAATTTCATTTTTTTATTGTTTATAATGCTATCTGAGAATGCCAAAAAATGAGGTATTTGTATTGCAAACCTAAAAATCTTTAACAAAAAAATATCTGTTAAAAAATCCTTTTTCTTAATTCCATTACATTTTTAGTTCCCGTTTTCTAAATAACAGTTCAATTTGAAATTATCTAATTTTTGAAAAATTGAAATTTATCTAAAATTTTGATTTTTTTAAAATCAACGCTAACGGCGAAATCTCAAACTGAAGCATTATTCAATAGTACTATTTCAAGATAACATAATTTTACATTAAACCGACCACATAGGATGAAACAGCATCGCTTTTATTAAAGTTTGAGAAAATTTATTATTTCTTGATTATTTAGTTTTTAAAAAATATTTTTTTTTTTATTCTTTTAGGTGCTTTCAAAGAAAATCGGGCCACCAGAGAGGTACCTTGCAATATTATTGAAAAATATATAAAAAGACTGGTTGAAAAGTGTTTCATTTAGAGAAAAGTATCATAAACAAAAAGGAAAATGTACAACAGAAGGAAGTTTGTAAACAATGGAATAAAAAATTTGTGTATTAGCTTGTACGAAAATACTGTAATTAAAGTTATTAATTGTTCAGTTTGTTTCCTAACTTTCATGAAGACTTGGATTGGTAGAGGATACTTAGCTTAAGCAAATATTGTATCTTATACATTGTATTACTGAATATGAAAATAATTAGTTCATTGAATTTGAATGTTTGATTCTAGAAGAGAAATTTATTACATGAATATGCAATATGGAAATTAATTTCATTACATTTCCTTTAATACTTTTAATTTTGCTTTAAAATTTTATGAAATAATATAAAACTATCAGTTTATAGATTTTGGGAATTTAATGCATTCCTAGTAGCTGAATTAAATTAAAACCTTTTGCAATAAATGCTTCAAATTTTAAATTATGACAATAATTATATTTTAACTGAAAATTGCTTGTTAAGAACCTTATCCATTGACTGGACCATCCACTGAACTAATTTTATAAATCAAATTTATGGCAAAATAATGAATTTGTGAAAGATATATGTCATTTTATTTGTTTATTAACTTTCAAAATACGCCTTCTAACTTTATAAAAAAATTACATGGACAGAAGTAATTTTAACAGAGAACTGTTTAGTACAGTTAAATTGCTTGTAAACAGAAACACAGAAAAAATATTTATTATTTTTAAAATTTGCATACATTTAAATGCAAACTTTTAAATTTATTTTAATGACAAGAAATATCCAAGCATTCACTTTAAATTCCCATCATCCTGATGCTTTTAGTCTACTGCAATGACAAAAACTCTAGACAGCAGTAGTCTCATATAAAGTTTAAGTACAGTTATTAAACTGGCATATCAGAGCTTATTAGTGTTGAAAGAAAACAATTTGTTTTTAATTTACTGCAAAAAAGTACCGAGGATTATATTTAATAAGAAATAATTATTTCGTCCAGAATATAATACAGTCTCCCATTAAAATAGTTTGGTGTATATGATCACATGAATAAGGTTTCAGAATTTTGAAAATTGCAATGATTCTGGCCATATATTAAAAATCGTGATTTGCAGTCTGATTCCTTTTCCTTCCAGTGAGAACAATAACTTAATTTCTTGGTTAATTTATTAAACTTAAAATACATTTCTATCATTAGAACTGTAACAAATCTTGTTTTTATATGTAGTTAATAAGAATGGTGTGTAAAACTTCTATGGGAATATAAGGTCTAGATAATATTGCATTGGAGGAATTGCATGTAAATGTAGAGAAAAAGTGTAAAGTTTCATTAATAAATGGCATGTATGTAATGAACTAAGAGAATAGAAAAAAATAATAGAATTTGAATTTTGATGCACATATAAAGCATAACATATATTTGTAAATGTAACATTTCAGGCTCAACTCTTCAAACAGATAATGTCTTTTCCAGAAAATTGCAGTGTTCTCTTCCGTTAAAGAAATGTAAATTATTATATGAATTCACTATTTGGAAACTAAGTTTCGCATTAGACGCAAGTATTACAAACACAAATATTTCATGTACTGTTGTCCTTCAGAGTCTGTACATATAGACCGGATTCAGAACGTTCTAGTTAGACGTAACTCAAAACGTTCTAGTTAAACGTGATTCGGAACGTTCTTTGCATGTTATACAGAAGTGTTAACAGTACAAGTATTTGACGTGGTATTGCTCGTCATAAACCTTTAATCTATAGACGACATTCAGAACGTCTGCCCAAACGTTAAGAGAACGTTCTGCTAGCACGTTATAGAAACTTTCAAAGAACGTTCTAGGAACGTTATATAAAATTATTACTAGTACCACATTTTGACGTTCTATTGTCCATTAATGAACTACATCTTACAGACGTAATTCAGAACGTTTTGCCTGAACGTTAAAGAAACGTTCTGCTAGAACGTTAAAGAAACGTTCTGCTAGAACGTTGAAGGAACGTTCTGTTAGAAGGTAACGGAGCTTCCATATAACGTTCAAGGGACGTTTTATAAAATTGTTAGTAACACCATTTTTTGACGTTCTACTACCCGTTATTGAACTGTAACATACTGACGTGATTCACCACGTTCTGCCTGAACGTTAAAGGAACGTTCTGTTAGAACGTTAGAAGAACATTCATAGAACGTTATAAAAAAGTGATAGTAGTACCACTTTTGACGTACTACTGTCCGTTATTGAACTGCAATACATAGACGTGGTTCAGAACGTTCAGGTAAAACGTGCCAAAAACGTTGTACTAGAACGTTAATGACACGTTGCATGAAAGTGTTACAAACACAAGTATTTGACGTGTTATTGCCCGTCTTAGAACTGTAACATGTAGACGGCATTTTGAACGTTCTGCTTGAACGTTCCCGACACGTTTGTGAAGCACTTGCTCTGAACGTTCTCTGAACGTTCTTGTGCTAGTTGGGATAAAAAAAACAGATCTATTATTTCAAATAGAGTCAAAATATTCCGAGTTATAAAAATTATAAGTTTTATGTTACTGCTTACTAAAGAAAACCCCATACTTTGCTCTTTATGCCTCTGAAGCGGTTCCAAAATGACTCGCAGTACCATTCAGTTCGCTTAATATTCCAGAACATTCTATAACTGTAGGTGTAGAAAAGGCGGGAAAAACAACTTGACTACGAGGCTGTGGATTTAATTCCACGTACTTTCAAATAAAAGAACGTCGCCATTAAAAATTAGAAGAACATACAGTTAGAATTTTAAGTGTATTCTTGACTGTGGAATTTTATTATTACATATATATATGTCTAAATAAATACGTATGTACGTATTTATCTCGCATAATTCAAAAAGGAATTGTCTCAGAACGTTGAAATTTGTATGTAGGACTAATATAACATGTAGATGTGCATCTACTTTTTTGGTTGCAATCGGCCACACCAAAGTAATAAATAAATAAATAAATAATATATATATATATATATATGATGTACCAGCTTTAGTTGTAGCTTAAATTATCAGACGATAAGTTTAAAAAAAAAAAAAAAAAAAAAAAAAAAAAAAAAAAAAAACAGGATTTATTTATTATTATTCAGGAGAAATAGCAGTTACAAACCAAATATCCGGAGTAAATAAAAAGAATTACTAAGGTTTTTGTATGAAGTTTACTTATTATTCAGGAGAAATAGCAGTTACAAACCAAATATCCGGAGTAAATAAAAAGAATTACTAAGGTTTTTGTATGAAGTTTACTGCATCGTGACATTTAAGAAAAAGCCCCCGATATTCTTTATAGCCTCTGGAAAGGCGGAGCTTCAAAGAAATGACGTCTGCCTCGTCAGCCAATCCAGTTCGCTTTAAATATCTCCAGAACTTTCTATAACTGTAGGTGCAGAAAAGGCGGAAAAAACAACTTGACTACGGGGCTGTAGAATTAATTCCACGTACTTTCAAATAAGAGACTGTCGCCATTAAAAATGAAAAGAACATACGGTTAGAATTTTAAGTGTATTTTTGACTATGGAATTTTATTATTACATCTATATACCACCACTTATCCGATCTTTCTTTTATCAGTCGTTGGTCTTTGCGATATACTTGCAATCACAGAAGTGTTTTAAATGATGAAAATTTTTGCCAATATCAAATATTTAAAAACATTATTTCCAACAATAACAAAATCTAACTTTTAATTTGGTCTTCTGATTCATATACTTGTATTTCTGAAGATTATAAGGTATTTCTCCCGCCCTCTTAACATGCCTTCGTAGCGTAGTGGTCGGCACACTGGGCGCGTATTCCAGAGGTCCGTGGTTCGATTCCCGGCTAAGGCGTTACTCATTTTTCATCTCTGCTGCTTTCGAAATAACGTAATGTCTCTACAAGGTTTTATACTCGTTGTGAAGAAAATTATAAGGAGTTTGAATCCTGTATAATAAAAATTGACTTGATTTCAAAATTTGCAGTTTTTTATGTCATTTTCAACTTGCCTTGAACAATCGTTTAAATGTGTTAATTTACTAGACCACGAAAGGAAGTCAACTGATATCTGCATCAGATTTTTTATTTCGTTTTTCAGTGCTGTGTGAATCTATTGTTAAATAATAGGGAAACCTTTGGATGTGTAAGTAATGCATATTCCTTTGTTCATCGCAGTGCAAAAAGCGGCAGCACCTAGAATTTCCAAACCTGTTTTTGGAGAATGAATCGGTTTACATTCTAGAGTCATTAGGTTTTTTTGAAACAGAAGACGAGTAAAACGAGCAGTGTGGTATGACGTCACGCTCATCCACTCCTGGCGCTATATCTCGGTATGCCGCCCAACCGGTACAGTGTTTAGCGTCGCTGACTGCCGTGGCGAAAGGTCCGGGTTCGAATCCCGGAGAAGGCATGGATGTTTGTATAGTGTCGGTGCCGCATAACGGCACTCTAAATATGAGCCGAAGGTCCGATAACATTTAATTATGATAGCATTAAAAATGTATTCTTTTCATATACTTAGGCCTCTGAAGTATTGTAGAAAAAGAAAATATATACATTTGTATGCAGATTTACGACGTAATTACAAAATATTTACATCCGGTCGTGTCAAACCCATTGAACTCAATGGTAAATTACCCAATGTTTTAGTCACCAAAGAAGGGATCGCCAGTGCTTCAAAGCAGCGTATGGGTTAACCGGTTTAGGGCCACACCATTAACTTCCTACCTCATTCCTACCTCATACATTTATAATCATTATAAATTAGATACATTTAATAATTAGATTTCTTCACAGTACTTTCACAGTTGTTTATAAGTGAATAAATTCTTCATTTCAAATACATTTATAAATAATTTAATGAATATTTAAGTATTTTGTCAGAGGCAGATACAGGCTTTTTGCAAGCACATGCATAAATACCCATACATATTTCCTATTTTTCATTTCCGGCATGTGCAAATCT